CCCCTACAACTGAACATCATTGGCTCAAAGCTACTTCTGCAAACTTGCATCCTTTGTTATCTATTAATTCTCTTGCTTTCAACAGGGCATGAAGAAAACATAATCCCTATCTTCTCAATAATTAGGTAAAAAAATAAAATTGGAGACCGCCTACTATAAATTCTACATATATACACATATACTTATGTATGTGCATGTTTGGGTATGTGTGTATGTATATGAGTAATTCTGTGGACAAGACTGTAAGCTTTTTCACTGGGCAAAAGCATCATGACATTGGATTGGGCAATGATTTATTGGATATGAAACCAAAGGCACAGAAAACAAAAGAAAAAAACAGACAAATTAGATTTCATAAAAATTTTTAAATGTATGCCTCTAAAGACAATATCAGAGTAAAAAGGCAACTCATAAGATGGGAGAAAATATTTGCAAATCATATATCTGATGAGGAATTAATATCCAGAACATTACAAATAACTCCTAAAACTCAACAACAAAAAGCAACCTAATTTATATATCCAATAAGGAATTAATATCCAGAATATATAGAAAAGTCAAAAAATTCAACAACAAAAAACAAACAACCCAACTCAAAAATGGACAGAGGAGTTGAACAGACTTCTCCAAAGAAGATATATGAATGACCAATAAGCACTGAAATGATACTTAACATCACCAATAATTAGAAAATGCAAATTAAGACTACAATGAAATAGCAGCTCACGCCCAATAGTTTGGCTACTATCAAAATAACCAGACAATAACAAGTGTTGGCAAGGATGTGGAGAAACTGCAACCCTTGTGCACTGTTAGTGGAAATGTAAAATAGTCTAGCCACTGTGGAAAACAGTATGGCAGTTACTCAAAAAATTAAAAATAAAATTACTATGTGATCCAGCAAATCCACCTCTGGATATATATCCAAAAGAAAATACAGTATCAAAGACATACTGTATAATCACGTACATAGCTGCATTATTCACAATAGCTAAAATGGGGAAGCAGGCCAAGTGTCCATTATTAATTTATGGATAAGCAAAATGTGATATATACATACAATGGATAATTCCACCTTATAAGAGAAGGAAATTCTGACATATTTCATGTCAGAATTGGTGAACTTTGAGGACATTATTCTGTGTGATATAAGCCAGTCACAAAAGGACAAATAAATGTATGATTCCACTTACATGAAGTACCTAGAGTAGTCAAATTCATAGAGACAGAAAGTAGAATGGTGGTTGCCAGGGGTTAAAGGTTGGATATAGAGTTTAAGGGTTACAAAATAAGTTATAAAGATGGATGGTGGTTATGGTTGTACAGCATTATAAATGTCTTTAATCCCACTGAATTGTACACTTAGAATGATTAACATGGCAAATTTTATGTTTTATGTAACTTATATTAAAATTGGGAGTAAAAAATGCCTCCAAAATTTTCTTAATGCGTGACATTTATGAGATTCTAGGTATAACTAACTTCAGGGATTATACTTGACCTACATACATAAATACGGTCAATCTCTATATATAATTTTTATATAAATGGTCGATATTAAATGTCATTATAATTTCTTAGCATAGTTACATTTTCCATTTCTGGAGGTTTATTAATAAATCCCATGCCAAATTTAGGGATACTCATTGGGAAGGTCTGATTTTAAATAATGGAAAATTTTACAGATAAAGTACACTTTCAGCAATCTTGGAGACATCTCAAAGAGGTAAGTGATTATTTTTCAGAACTGTTAATAGCTGTTGATTAGGAGAAATATACTATACCAATATGCCATTAAAGCAACACAAAACAAAGCAAAAAGTATCTTTAAAATCAGACACAGAATTACAAGTCACAAGGGAAGACCATTCAAATTTTGGTTCCTGTTTGCAATTTAGTTGCTTCTCACAGGGGGAACTCTAAATAACATGCCCTAGTGTGAATAAGAGAAGGGATTTATTTATGTCACTGAAGTTAATTATAAACCAGGGAAATATAGGAAGAGTCTGACACTGTAACAGTAATGACATAAATCTCGATAGTGTGCACATAATGAGTCATCCTGCTCATGAAATCGCTTTTGTAATAACATTTAGTATTCTTAAAGTTAATACATTAAGCAAAGGCTAAATTGGTCAGTAACACTAACAGGCCACAGATGACTTAAAATATTCCTATTCAATTCAGTAGTAAGAAAACAAATCCAATTAAAAAACAGGCAAATTACCTGCATAGATATTTCTCAAAATAAAGCATACAAATGGCCAAAAAGCATATGAAAAAATGCTCACTATCATTAATCATTAGGGAAATTCAATTTTAAACCATAATGAGATATCATCTCACACCTGTTAGAATGGCTATTATCAAAAAGATGAAAGACAACAAATGTTGGTGAGGATAGAAAAACGGGGACCCATGCACACTGTTGGTGGGAGTGTTAATTAGTACAATTATTATGGAAAACAGTATGGAGATTACTCAAAAAATTAAAAATAGAACTACCATATGACCCAGCAATCACACTAGTGGGTATATATCCAAAGAAAATAAAATCAGTATGTGGAAGAGATATCTGCACCCCCATGTTTATTCCAGCATTATTCACAATAGCCAAGATAATGGAATTAGCCTAAGTATCCATTAACAGATGAATGGATAAAGGAAATGGGTTATGTATACACAATGGAATACTACTGAGCTTTAAAAAAGAAGGAAATCCTATCATTTGCAATAACATAGATGAACCTGAAAGATACTACATTAAGTGAAATAAACCAGGCACAGAAAGACAAATATCACATGATCTCACTTTATGCAGAATATTAAAAAGTCATACTCATAGAAACAAAGTAGAATGGTGGCTACCATGGGCTGCAGGAGAGAGGTTGGGAGATATTGGTCAAAGGATCTAAAATTTCATATAGATAGAAGGGATAAGTTCAAGAAATCAATTTGTATATGGTAACTATAGTCAATAACAGTTTATTATATTCTTAAAAATCAAAGGTGAATACACTCAAGTGTTTTCACCACAAAAATACAAATATGTAAGGTAATGCATATGTACACTTTTATTTTTTCTATTAAAAACATGAATGAATTTAATTTAAAAAGAAGGTGGTGTTCGGTGGATCATGAGGATATGGAGAAGGGGAAGATGTTGGTTAAAGTTTTGGTTAGAAAGGATTAATAAGTTCTGGAGCTCTATTGTACAGCATCATGACTATAGTTAATGATAATGTATATTTGACAATTTCTAAGAGAGTAGATCTGAAATGTTTTCACCACACACACATACACACATTAACTATGTGAGGTGATGGATATATATATATACATATATATAATTTTTGGGGGGGGGTCAGAGTCTTGCTCTGTCGGCCAGGCTGGAGTGCAATGGCGTGATCTCGGCTCACTGCAACCTCTGCCTCTCAGGTTCACGCCATTCTCCTACTTCAGCCTCCCAAGTAGCTGGGACTACAGGTGCCCACCACCACACCCGGCTAATTTTTTTGTATTTCTAGTGGAGACTGGGTTTCACCGTGTTAGCCAGGATGGTCTTGATCTCCTGACCTTGTGATCCGCCCACCTCTGTCTCCCAAAGTGCTGGGATTATAGGTGTGAGCCACCGTGCCTGGCTGGTGATGGATATATTTACTGGCTTAATTAAGCCAGTGGCTTAATATTTACTGGCTTCATTTCATAATGTATACATACATCAAAACATCACATTGAACTCCAAAAAATATACACTATTTTATTTGTCAATTATTCCTCCATAAAGCTGAAAATATAGAAGATTAAAAAAACATAAATAATATTCCTAGGGAATAAAACTGCTTCATCAAAATGAGCTGTGTAATTATCAAATAAGAGATGTGTTTTCTCAAAAAAATTGAATGTCAAGCGATAGTGATAATTCAATTCAAAAAGATGAAAGCAAACTAGCTGAAGCAAATAGGAGACTTACTGGAGGACATTACTGGAAAAGATCAATTGGTGGTAGAGGAAGGTTCCTGTCAGATATTTCTCTGTGTGTGTGTGTTTATTTAAGAGAGAGAAAGAGAGAGACAAGGAGAGAGGGCCAGGCAGGCAGGAAGGAAGGAAGGGAGAAGGGAGGGAGGCTGAGAGAGAGAGAGAGGATGTGTTGAATAGCCAAAGAAATAGCTATAACAAACTTTTACTTATGGAGCAAAAATATAATGGAAAATATAATAGAAATCAAATATAAACTGTAAATATATTTGAAATATCTAAATGTATGTAAATAACTTAAAATTGCTATAAATGTGGGGGTTTCTTGTTTGTTTTGTTTTGTTTTTTGAGAGAGTCTCACTCTGTAGCCCAGGCTGGAGTGCAATGACATGATCTCGGCTCACTGCAACCTGCATCTTCCAGGTTCAAGTGATTCTCCTGCCTCAGCCTCCCAAGTAGCTGAGAATACAGGCATGCGCCACTGCGTCTGGCTAATTTTTGTATTTTTAGTAGATACGGAGTTTTACCATGCTGGCCAGGCTGGTCTGGAACTTCTGACCTCAGGTGATCTGCCCATCTCAGCCTCCCTAAGTGCTGGGATTACAGGTGTGAGCCACATCATCTGGCCTATATATTTTAAAATACAGTAAAAAATAAAGGTCCACTCCAAACAACAAATAAATGTTGGAACATAATTTAGAAGCTGATACAGTTTGGCTGTGTCCTCACCCATATCTCTTCTTGAATTATAACTCCCACAATTCTTACCTGTAGTGGGAGGGACCCAGTGGGAGGTGATTAAATTATGGGGGCAGGTCTTTCCTGTGCTTTCTCGTGATAGTGAATCAGTCTCATGAGATCTGATGGTTTTAAAAATGGGAGTTTTTCTGAACAGGCTCTCTTTTTGCCTGCTGCTATCCACGTAAAACATGACTTGCTCCTCCTTGCCCTCAGCCATGATTGTGAGACCTCCCCAGTCACGTGGAACTGTGAGTCCAATTAAATCTCTTTATTTTGTAAATTGCCCAGTCTTGGATATATCTTTATCAGCAGCATAAAAATGGACTAAAACAAAGGCCTCCCCATGAAATTTTCTAATCAATGGCTTCATTTTGGGAGGGCTGACAGCATTCATATATGTGAAAGTAACCCAACCTACTCAGCTGTTTAAAATGAAGGGCACTTGGTATAATTGGAAACTAGCAAAATTCCACAAAATGATCAATTTGGTCAACAAATTAAATTTCATTTTCTGAATACTTTACTTTACAATTATGTTGCGAGCTTGTTTTTAGTTAACTGGCTCTGGAAGCTGAGAGGAGACACATTCAGACAGCTAATTTCAATCATGAAAATGACAGAAGATGTACGGCCTGTACACTTTGGGTACTAAATCATTTTTCTAAGGAATAGATGCAAGGGCATTGAAACATATGTAATGCACTTTGAAACAGATATTTTCCAATCCAACACCTTGCTCTGAGGGAGAGGGCTCTAAGGGATGACTAACTTGTTTCTGTTCTCCCTGAATATAGCCCCTTGGTTTATCATGTCTGATTCCTTAAGGTACAGGCACCATCTGAGCTTTTATGTCCTACCTGTGGAGAGACTCATTTTGTTATGCATGTATGGGAGTGTCTAGAGCACCTTAGTGAAGGTCATGCTACAACAAATAAATTTCTCAAATCTTAGTGACTTAAGTTTATTTCTTATTCTTGTAAAGTCCAGGATGTTATCCAAATGGTCATTCATGACCCATCCTCCTTCCATTAGTGCTTCATTAGTGTACTTATTCAGTTGGAAGACAGAGTAAAAAGAGAATGAACTGTTGGAAGCTGCTTATAGGCTAAAGTTGGAACTGGCATATGTCACTTCTGCTCATATTTTACTGGCCATAACTCAATCATATTTTGCAAATAACTGTCAGGTGAAAAGGCAAACTGGTTTGGTTAACAAAAGCAAGTCTGCTCAATGGGGAGATACCAAAACTTTCCATAGTCATACAACTTTACTATATAATCAAACTGCTATAACTTTCCCTTTGAAAACAAAGAACACACAAATTTCATTTGTGTAACTACTTGCACATTAAGTAACCCAACTGGTCATTTTATTATAGTTATAAAAAAGAAAGTGACTACCTGGACATAATTGAAAAAACTGGGTGATACCATTTGGATATTTGTTCCCTCCAAATCTCATGTTAAAACGTGACCCCCAATGTTGGAGGTGGGGCTAAGAGAGAGGTGTTGGGTTATGAGGGTGGATGCCTTGTGGATAGCTTGATGCCTTCCCCTTAGTAAAGAGTTCACAGGAGATCTGGTTATTTAAAAAGTATGGCACCTCCTGCCTCTCTCTCTTGCTCCCTCTCTTGTTGGCTACCCCTTTGCCTTCTGCCATGATTGTAAGCTTCCTGAGGACTCACCAGAAGGTGGTGGTAGCACAACACTTCTTAAACAGCCTGCAGAACCATGAGTCAAATAAACCTCTTTTCTTTATAAATTATCCAGTCCAGATAGTCTTTTATAACTATGCAAAACAGACTAACATCCTGGGAATAAAATATATTAATGGATCAGTACAATACTATTTTAGTTGTGTTGAATTTTGAGCTGAAGAAGGCAGCTGTTCAGTATTTTTACAAACATTTTTGTCAAAGTTATGGAAATTAGCCATCCCTTTCAACCTTTCTAATTTGAAGCAATCACTGTGTTCTGCAGAATACATTCTCAGAGAATGGTTAAATCATTATCTCCCTTGGGATCTCTGGTTCCAAGCCTTTGAAAAAGGGGAAATCTTCCAGTTTTACAAAAGTTAATTGCCAGTGACTAGTCTACACGGACATGATTAAGAATGCAAAATGGGCATACTTGGGATCTCCTAACCATCCCAACTTAATCATTATTTTTATTACTTGTTTCCCTGTGAATTCTGTGTTATTAAAGCTGAACTGCTACATCATCAACTGTATTTTATAAATTGTTAAATTTCCCTGTTATCAATAATGTCACTTTTAGTTCAATTAGCTGAGTTTTCTTTGCCTCAACATGTTCCAACTTCAGAATTGTTTGCTCTTTTTTCACACAGGAAATGTCTTTTGAAAGCTTTACTGACTCCAGGCAGATTTCTTCCAACAATTTCTTGCTTCTTGTGGTAAGTTTGTTCCAGAGAAAGAGTAATAGTCTAAGACCCCCTATCTTATTCATATTTTTAATAATATATAATGTTTTCATAGTCTTTCATGTTGTTTGATTTTATTTATATTTTTACTCATCTTTCCAAAGAGATAAATATGTGTGTGTATATATATATACACATAAATATAATGCCTTTTCTATTTTACTATTGCATTTTTTCTGCTTATCTCTTCTGTAGTTCTCTCAAAATTATTAATTTAATATTACAGAAAGGCTATCATTTTAAAAACAAGATTATTTACCCTCCCAAAAATTTCAAAATAATTATGCTTCCCATGCAATGTTCACATATTGAATTCCCAGGTTTGTTTTTAGGTGACAAGAAGTTTATATTATTTTGTTATAACAGAAGTATGATAATTTATGTATTTTTACTAGTTCTAGTTTAGAAAATGTTAATATGTAAGAAGATTATAGACATAAGAATTATTCTACTGAATAATTAAAACATTGTCTTAAAAGTTGACTGGCAATTCTCTCCCACGTTCTAAATTTTCATTTTTCTATTCTTTATTCATGAACAAGTTTTGCATATTAAGTAATATATTATAGAGGAAAAGAATTAAAAATAAGAAAGTAAAAATCATTCCATACGGTTTTTTGTTTGTTTGTTTGTTTTTAAAGAATACATGCAAGGGTGTTGCAACACATGTAATGCACGTCAAATACTCTTGGTTGTCTGAGTTTTCTGCAACAAGAACTATATTTTACATGGTTTATATGACATATAAAAAGGTAATTTCCAAAAGAAATACTATAGGGATGATAGAAACCTTGGGGATCATGTACCTAGAGCTTAACTACATCACATAAATACCTATAGAAAAATACAGGCTTCAGGACCCATTTCAGAGTACAGGCAATACTAAGTGGAGAGTTGTTAGATGTTGGAAAACTTGTGTTATTCTACCACCTCACTTGGTAATTGTGAAACATCCTCTATGTTTGACATCTACTGGTCTAATATACCAACTGCTTCATTTTGGAGCTACAGAACAAAGAACTAGGTGACTAACTAGTTAGTTTAGGGTTATGTAACTAGGAGATGAGCTCAAAGTCTCCTCTCCATCAACCACCAGTTCTGTGCTGTTTTCCCAATTCAATTCATCCAATTCAATGGAAGAGCAAGTATTTATTGGCCATTTGGGGGGTGGGGTTTATTGTTCCAATCTTGAATGATTGATTTTAGGCACATTAATGGAGATATTTTAGATACAGTTTTCTTAAATTAGAATACATTGAAAATTTCAGGAGCGCTTGAATCTTTTAGAATTATGTTAATTTTAGATTGCTTGCATAAATCCACTTTCATCAATGAGGTTTCCATAGTGTTTATTAAAATTTCAAAGAGGATATGCTCCTCTAGAAACATTAAATACTATTGATAAATCCTTATCTCCAACTAATTTGTTTTACTAGACCATGTTAGTAGATGACATGTTAGTAAATGGCATTTACTAACATTTACTAACATTGTTATTAATGTAATAGCATTAATACCAAAAGTTTTGGGATGTGATATTTAAATTTACCCATCTTCCCCAAATATGTAGGCTATTGAAGATAATTCAGTATATTGCCACAGTTTAATCATATTTTTCTTTGCTTTCCTATTTGCACATAAAAGTTATACAAAGTAAAACATACTGAATATTCCTTTTATGATTTTTATATTCTACTTTTAGCATTTCAGAGAAATGAAGAGTAAGAAAATAAGTCAAGGGAATACCACATATGCATAACGACATCGTTCACTTTGTTTCAGCATGCCTGGTATTTGGAAAGTAATTGCATTCTCTGGTTAGAGAATGAGACTCTAAAGTAAAAAAGAAAGGCTTTTCATCAGATGTCTTTATTCAGCATTATATTTTATATGGATGCATCAGTAGTATATGCTTAGAAAGAATGCAATGAATATATATACTGCTTTTGTAATAGGAAAATTTTTCTGAAAAAAAAACAAATATCATGTAAGAACAGATTTTTCTATCTCTAGATGTTAGAAGAGCAATTATGTTCCTGTGAGCAGCTGATGGAGGACATCATCAACATGGAAGTACTCCTTTGTGAGAGAAGTATCAGCTTACCTTTATATTAATAGATATTACCTTTGGATATATCTGTGGGAAAAGAAAAGCTATTTCAGTAAGTGGTATCTCTATTGTACTTCTCCACCTAAGTCAAAATATTCTTTCAGATGGCTTCTCTAGTTAAGGTACTTCCAATAAAAAAGATATAAAATTTCACAAAATACTCTTTTTTTCTAACCAAATTAATGTCAGAATTATGACATAATTCTGGCTTCTGTATTTATTGCCCTTTTGACTCTGCTGAAGATTTGAGTAGTTAAAGGCATATATAGAAGTATATATTCTTCAATTGTTTAGACATTACATCATGATAATAGTGAGTCTAATAAGATAAAATGTTACTGACAGAGCAAAAAAGAAATAGAAATCAAATAAGCTATTAAAACTTTCACAATATAATTTAATACACTATTTTCTCCACTGACAAGTATTTTGAGAATAAAAATCTTTTACAACAAATTTAGTTATAAAATAAACTTGTAACACATTAGAGGCTCTACTAGATATTATCTTAGCAGAAATACCATTTTTTCACTAAGCTTCAGGTATGTGAGACTACCTATATGAAAATATTTTATGTTGATGTCCATTATGACTAGGAACAGTTGAAGAAAATGAGGCTTAACCCAAGGGCAAACCTGTGAATTGCAGAGAATTTTTTCTGGCTGTATCACTTTTACTACATTTTTTTTTTATTATTCATATGGTTACTCTTTCCCCATTTTCAATCATCCAACACTCTTCTGTTATCTAGCTTGTTCTTCCTTCATGCGAACATAATTAGAGCTGATAACAGCTATTCAAACATGTTAACTCATTCATTTTCTTTAGAGTTGGTGTAGTAGCTCAGCCAAGCATTAAACTTCTCTCTCATTGTAGAATAAAATTGTTTTTAATTAAAGTTAATTAAAGTAGGGAGACTCCAAATGACATCATATTTACTGAAACGCAGAATAATTCTGAATGCAACTCTGGTAGCTTTTTGAGGGTCTTCAGTGGTAATAATAGGAGAGTGTAGAAACAGAAAAGATAGAATTGGGACTTTGTGTCCATCTGTAATGGCAAAGTTAGACAGGGGGCTAGTCTGGCTTTGCCTGCTGAAGGCTTATTTAACAGAGGGCTTGGAATGTGAGTAAACATGCCTGGAATACTAAAGCATTTCTAAGGGCTTATTTTTGTGTGACACCATGAAAAAATAGTTAAATAATGAAACATACAACCTTAACATATTCTTAGTTTCTAATGTGACAATGGTAATTCTCAAAAGATAAATCTGCAAGTAAGTTTAATAAATAAATATATTTCCTTAAAAATGGTGTGTGCTTTTTATAGAATTATGAGCAAATAGTTACATGGCAGAATACCTCATATCTAGGATATATTCTTTTTTAATTGTAACTATTCATTGAAGATATAGGATTTCATAAATTGAGAGATGAAAGGAAAGGAGCTTGACAAACTAGTAAAGAAATTCAGACATGGCAAAGAATAACTTGTTGCAGGCCATGCAATACATAAAATCTATAGAATTTATTTCTGTTTAAACCTATTTAACTGAATGGAAAACTATACAGACAACCAGGTTTTGAAGGGCCAGAAATCTGGTGAGAATAGTGAGGCAGGCATAATACTGAGGTGAGCCTTACATTTCCCTTGAGGAATCTTTTAGTTTCTAAATAGCACAAGGCCAGAAGACCAAGAAGACAGCCACAAGGCAGATAAAAACCTAAGCTAAGACTTTGGCCTTATTGGGATGTCTAAAGATAAAACTTGTAGTTTAAGAAAGCAGGATGTCAAGAAACTAAACTACAAAGAAAAACGGAGAAGAATAAGGGAATTTTAGCATCGTGTCATGTTCCTCCTTAAGACGTTTGCTAAATTTTATCTGGTATAGGGCTAACAGGATATCAAATGGAGTCAAGAGTAGCAGCTAAAGGTATGGGCAGCAAAACAGGGTATTTGGCAGTTTCCCAGGATTGAAGAAGAAAAAATTGGAGAAAGGACTCTAGTTAATATCCCTGACTTCTTATTATAAATAGAATAAAAGAAGGTTATACTCCAAAAACATAGGTAACAAGAATTATATCAACTCTTAACAAAAATGTGAAACTCAGCTCCGGACAAGCGCAACCCCACAATGGAAAAGCAGGTCTGCCCCATATTTAAGGTACCTGAGAAAAATCTAAAGGAAATCCTCCCTGAAGGAAGAAAATATGAGACAAAACATCAAATTATATCTATAATTTTTCATTAGCAATATTCTACATGTGATCAAACTTACTAGGCATGTCAGAAGTCAGAATCAAAAAACAGAAAACTAAAACATAATATAAGCAGATACAAAGGTGAATTAGAGTTGGAGATATCCATCATAGATTTTTAAATAACAAAGAATAAAATGCTGAACAAAATTGTTAGCAAGATCAAGAATCTCACTATGCAACTGGAATTTATAAATAATAACCCAATGGAAATTACAGAACTGAAAATGTTAACATTTAAATTAAGAATGCAATAGATGTGTTTAAACAGTTAAGAGAGGATTTTTGAACTAAGGAGAGATCATTATAAAATATACAGACTGAAGTTCAAAAACAAAAGAGAATCTGTAATATATAAAAGAGCATACAAGACATATGAAACAATTTAATATTTGTAATTGCATTTGTATAATAAGAGAAGAGAGAAATGTTAAAGAAGCAATATTTGAAAAGATAATAGGTGAGAAACTTTCAGAGCCAATAGAAAGACATCAACCCACACAATCCAGAGCATTAACAAACACCAAGGAGAACTGGGGCATGAGGTAGGAAAATCTAAAAGCATTAGAGTAAAACTGACCTTTTTTTAAATGCATAAAAAAGTTTTAAAAGCAGTCAGATAAATAAAAGACATTATCTTCAAAGGAAAGACACTTCATTAGAAACTATGGAGGGCAGCAAACAATAGAATGACATTTTGTAAATGCTCAAAGAAAATATGCCAAACTGTACTTGTTTATTCAGCAAAAATATCCTTCAAAAAGGGAAATTAAATAAAGATGTTTTCAGCCAAACAACTGAGAAAACTCATCAACAGCAAACCTGTGCAAACATACATATTTAAAGGAGTTCATTAGACAGAAGACTAATGATCTAAAGAGAAGCACAGAAATGAAAGAAGGAACGAACAATGAAAGAGTTAAATATGTGGGTAAATCAAAATAAAAATAACCTAAGTAGACCGGGTGCAGTGGCTCACGCCTGTAATCCCAGCTCTTTGGGAGGCTGAGGCAGGCAGATCACAAGGTCAGGAGATTGAGACCATCCTGGCTAACACGGTGAAACCCCGTCTCTATTAAGCATATCAACTTTTAATTCAAAACTGCTTCATAATGCAATTTGACCAAAAAAGTCTACATGCTAAAATAAGATATAATCCTACAACAACCGACTAAAGCATAACATTACAAAAATTTATTTGTATTAAAAAGATAGGTTAATTAAAAAGCAACTCATCTGATTAAGGTAACTATTTTACCTTGTTATTAAAGGCAAATGAAAAACAGACTTTATAAAAATGTAAAGATCATGTACTGGCTATTCCTGACCAGATTAGCACTTATCTCTAGAAGAATGCAGATTGTCTTCTATTATAATCTGTTAATTACACCTTGGGGCCATAAACACAACCAATTTCTAGAACAGGGATACAAATATATTGCTTTGAGGACAGAAAAATATATCCTGACCAAGAGATTGTTTATGGCAGTTAATTTATGGATTGTAAAAATGTAGTAACCATATAACTCGGGGAGGACAGGTGTACTCACTGATATGGTTTGACTCTGTATTCCCATCCAAATCTCATCTCAAATTGAAATCCCCATGTATCAACGGAGGGACCTGGTGGGAGTTGATTGGATGATGGGTGCGGTTTCTCCCATGCTGTTCTCATGATAGTGACTGAGTTCTCATGAGATCTGATGGTTTGATAAGTGTTGGCAGTTCCTCTTCCCTCTGTCTTTTCTGCCACATTCTGAAGAAGGTACTTGCTTCTCCTTTGCCTTTCACCATGATTGTAAGTTTCCTGAGGCCTCCCCAGCCATGCTGAACTGTGAATCAGTTAAAACTCTTTCCTTTATAAATTACCCAGTCTCGGGTACTTCTTTATAGCAGTATGAGACTGGACAGTAAATTGGTACAAGAAGTGGGGTACTGCTATAAAGATAACCTGAAAATGTGGAAGCAACTTTGGAACTGGGTAACAGGCAGAGGTTGGAACAGTTTGGAGGATTCAGAAGAAGACAGTAAGATGAGAAAAAGTTTGGAACTTCCTAGAAACTTGTTAAATGGTTTTGACCAAAATGCTGATAGTGATGTGGACAACGAAGTTTAGGCTGAGGTGGTCTCAGAAGGAGATGAGGAACTTATTGGCAACTGGAGTAAAGATCACTCTTGCTGTGCTTTAGCAAAGTGACTGGTAGAATTTTCCTCGTGCCCTGGAAATCTGTGGAACATTGAACTTGAGAGAGATGATCTAAAATTGTAACATATTTAAAAGGGAAGTGGAGTATAAATGTTTGAAAAATTTGCAGCCTTACCATGTGGTAGAAAAGAAAAATCTATTTTCTGGGGAGAAATTAAAGCCAGCTGCAGAGATATGCATAAGTAATAAGGAGCCAAATGTTAATTGCCAACAAAATTGGGAAAATGTCTCCAGGGCACGTCAAGAGACCTTGGTGGCAGCCCCTGCCATCACAGGCCTGGAGGCCTAGGAGGGAAAAAATGGTTCTGTGGGCTGGGACCAGGGTTTCCACTGCTGTGTCCAGCCTCAGGATATGGTGTCCTGTGTCCCAGCTGCTTCAGCTCCAGCCGTGGCTAAAAGGGGCAAGGTATGGTCCAAACTGTTGCTTCAGAGGGTGCAAGTTCCAAGATTTGGTGGTTTACATGTATTGTGTTGTGTTGGGCCTGAGGGTGCACACAAGTCAAGAATTGCAGTTTGGGAACCTCTGCCTAGATTTCAGAGGATGTATGGAAATGCCTGGATGTCCAGGCAGAATTCTTTCACAGGGTCAGAGCCCTTTTAGAGAATCTCTGCTAGAGCAGTGTGGAAGGGAAATGTGGGATTGGAGCCCCCTCAAAGAGTCCCCACTGGTGCATTTCCTAGTGGAGCTGTGAGAAGAAAGCCACCTTCTCCGGACCCCAGAATAGTAGGTCTACTGACAGCTTGCACTCTGCAGCTAGAAAAGCTGCAGGCACTCAACACCAGTCAGTGAAGGAGCTGCCCAAGGCTGTGGGAGTCCCCTCCCCATTGCATCAGCATGCCCTGGATGTGAGACATGGAGTCAAAGGAGATTATTTTGGAGCTTTAGGATTTAATCACTGCCCTGTTGGCTTTCAGACTTGCATGGGGCCTATAGCCCCTTGGTTTTGGCCAATTTCTCCCATTTGAAATGGGAGCATTTATCCAGTGCCTGTCCCCATACTGTATCTTAGTAACTAACTTGCTTTTGATTTTACAAGCTCATAGGTGGTAGGGACTTGCCTTGTCTCAGATAGACATTGGACTATGGGCTTTTGAGCTAATGCTGAAGTAAGAGTTTGGGAAGGCAAGATTTGTTTTGCAATGTAAAAAGACGTAAGATTTGGGAGGGTCCCAGGGGCAGAATAATATGGTTTGGCTCTGTGTCCCCACCCAAACTCATCTCAAATTATAATCCCCACGTGTCAAAGGAGGGATCTGATGGGAGGTAATTGGATCATGGGGGTGGTTTCCCCCATGCTGTTCTTATGATAGTGACTGAGTTGTCATGAGATCTGATGGTTTTATAAGTGTTTGGCAGTTCCTCTTCCCTCTCTTTTCTGCCACCTTGTGAAGAAGGTACTTGCTTCTCATTTGCCTTCCACCATGATTGTAAGTTTCCTGAGACCTCCCTAGTCATGTGAAAATGAGTCAATTAAACCTCTTTCCTTTATAAATTATCCAGTCTTGTGAATTTCTTTATATCAGTGAGAGAACGAACTGATACACTCACCATTTAGAAGATTCTATTTTGCCTCCTTGGTGTTTTTGTTTGGCTTTTTGTTCTAGAGTAGAAGTGTTTTCTCTATCAATGAAGAAAGAATTTGGCAGAGTTACATTAAATGTTCTCTTCAGAACAGTATGCCTTAAAAATGGACTGAGCTGTGGACATTAAAAAAAAGAATAGCATATTTTAATTGTATCATTCATAAACTTTGAAATATTATTTTACATTAATCAATAATGAACTCATTAACATAAAATAACTTACCAACACCATTTATTGATATCTTACATGTTTGGATTCCTAGGGCTAACATACATAAGTATAATTTAAAATATCCAAAAGTAAAAAATAAAATAAAATATATAAAAGTTATAAGTCATGAACTTAATGCATGTTTAATATTCTTCTAAAAGTCATATATATTTGGTAGAGGCAAAAACCTTTGATGAAATCTAAAATTTCTTTTTAAAAAAGCAATATGTACATTTTTGCATGTATTAATATCAAATAATTTTTATTCCCAAAATAAATCTTGCTTCCAATGAAAGCAGATATTGACTTTCTAGATGTGTCCTCTCAGCATTTATTCTTTCAACAAATGTTTGTTAAATGCATATTATCTGCCTATTTTCCAACTATTAACATGCAGTAACAAGATAAAGTCAATTTACATTCACCATTCAACATACCAATGAACACATCAAGAAAGACAAAAATTCAAAGGAACTTTTAAAACTAAAACAAACTCTTATTTCCATTGCTCTGAGGACTGTCCACCAAATTTCTTGCAAAAAGGAGCTGATTGAAGAACGAAATTAATGGAATTCAATCAATATTTATTTGAGTGCCTCTTATGTGATATGTATTAGTCCTAACATAGCTATTATCAATGATCCTCTTTTTTTAATCTTCTCCTCCACAAGAACGTCATATAACAGGATATATTAAAAAGTTAGAAATTGAGATGCATATTTAGTAGGTACAAGTTGAGAATATTGCATTCTTAGATTTACAGTTTTTCATTGCCTGTCTTCATGTAATAGAATGAGAGTTACAGGTTTAAAGTCAGCTTCATGTGGAAAGATAATTCATATATCTCAGTAGAAATTTTGACTCGGACATTTTCAATGTCTGTGGACTTCAAAATGTTACCTCCCCTTTCTGAACTTAGGTTTCACCACTTTTCAAATGGAGTCAAAGCGATCTATTTTATATAGGTTTAGGGGTTATAATAATTGAGTTAAAGTATGGAAAGTAGTCCTTTATCTTAAAAAGGCAATATAGCTTAGTGGTCAAAAGCATGAGCCTTTCATTGGTTGAAACCCTACTCCTGCTATCTGCTTTCTATGTGTTCTTAAGCAACTTACTATCTCTGTGCTTTGGTTTTGTAGCTGTTGTTGTTTTTCTTGAGACAGGGTCTCACTCTGTTGCCCAGGCTGGAGTGCAGTGGCTCAATCTCAGCTCACTGCAGCCTCAGCCTCTCAGGCTCAAGCCCGGGATTCTCCCACCTCTGCCACTCAAGCAACTGGGACTACAGGTATGCAACACTGTACCCTGCTAGGTGCTTTGGTCTTTACACTTGGAAAGAGAAGATGCTAAAATAATAAGATATTTTTATGAGGATTACATGAGTTAATAATGTATAAAGCATATCAAGCATGGCCTATCAAAACCATATGTGTCTATTACTATTATCCTCCTCCTCATCATCATCTTGTGTAATGTCTCCCAATGAGCAAATATTTACATCAAATTAATTAAAAATAAACTTTTATTCTTATAATTAGGGCAGTGGTAAATAGGGCAGTTAGAATTTGCCCTCAGTCCAGCAGTCTGTAAAGACAGTAAAAGGGCATTGAGGTAGATTATTTTAGCATATCATTAGGATAAAATTAAAAGGAATAGTATTTCCATGATCAGGGTGAGAGCACAGAGCCAGGGCAATCCACATGTCCTACTGTTGGGAAGTTTTGGTTTTGCACAGATGCCTTCTTTTAAAAGCATAAACAAACAAACACAATTCCAATGCAAACAACATATGCTAAAGGAAAGTAGCATTAATTTGAAGCTATATTGTAAAAAGTCACCAATACTTATTTATAATATGAACAAAATTAAGTTTCAGAAAAAATATAAAATTAGAACTGAAGAAAGTTTGTGAGGTAGTCCCTCAATCATTAAAAAATGTAAAAAGAGCCTATCGAATAACTATGGAACTAAAGAGAAATATACACGTAAGTCAAATCGCTTAGAAAAATAATACAAAAGAAAAAACGAACATTCATAAAATTACCCCCAAGCTTTAGTCATAATCCAAAATATTTCATGATTTATAGAAGGAAAATTGGGAAACTTCCACTTATTCCCTCCTCCTTTTATTTATTCCACGAGTGAACATCAAGTGCCTATTATATATCAGGCACTGTACAGAAATCTAATAAAATTGTCAGCCAAAAATACATAATCCCAGGTTTCATAAAATCTATTACCAAAAATGAGATAATCATAAAATGCATATAAAATCAAACATTGATAAGAACTCCCAAGAAAAGGTACATAGAGACAAAATAAGAAGAATGGACCAAGTAAAGGAGATCAGAGGGTTCAATAAGGACATGACAATTGAATTGAAATCTGAAGTAAAGACAGGACTTAATCAGGCAACGGTGGGGAATAGGGTTGGGGAGGCACTCCAGACTCAGAGATCAACACAGGCAAAGATCCTGTAGCATGTTGTAGTAACTGAAAGAACGCTAATAAGCCTAGAGTGGCACGGAGCAAGGTAGGCCCCATGAGGGATGATGTCATAGACCTGTGTAGGGCATGTTAAGGATTCTGGTGATGACAAAAGTAATGAGAGGCCATTAAAGTTTATTACAAAGTTGGTAAGAGATTATTGCTTTTGTAAAATCACTTATTATTGTATTTTACATTAATGTTTTTATTGTATAAATATTAAATATCCTACATGCACTTATTTAACTACTAAAATAGTTATGTACTACTAATTTCAAAAGGAATTATTAATATTTATTTATATACATATTTTTAAGTAAGAGTTACTCATCAAGATGTTTTTCAGGTTAGAATTACCTTCTGGAGGCAGGAAAGACACTATAGACCAATGTTCAGAGGGGGAAGTATGGGTAAAAAATGAAAATGTGTGGGTTATCTACAAATAGACTACTGAGAGATTATAGAATGAGAAAAAGATCCAGGTTCAAGACTTTATGAACTCTCAAATTCATAGCCAGATATGGGGTAGGAGCCTATAAAAGAGATCAGAACATCAGAGAGTGGTATGTTAGGAGAGCCAAGAGAAGTGAATTTATCTGTCTGGTTTTAAGATTTCAGTACTACTGAAAAGTGAAGTGGACAGAAATATGCCCATTATATTAAGAGAAATGGATATTAATTAATTTAGTTGAGGTAAATTAAAATGCATATAATCCATACTGGAGAATATTGAGAAGTGAAAGGAAAAGGAGAGGAGAGGAGAGGAGAGGAGAGGAGAGGAGAGGAGAGGAGAGGAGACGAGAAGGGAGGGGAGGGGAGGGGAGGGAAGAGGAGGGGAGGAGAGGGAAGAGGAGGGGAGGGGAGGGAAGGGGAGGTGAGGGGAGGGGAAGGGAGGAGGTAGAATAGCAACAAACTTCATTTTAAGAAATTTAGTTTCAAAAATAGGAAATAGAGATCTTTCTTACAATTTTATTTTTCTTTTGTTAACAGAAAATATTAGAAACTAAAAGACAACAGGGATTACCTTGTACTTGAGAGAGAAATAACTGATAGTGAAATGTGCCAGAAAATACAGAAGGAAATAAGATCTAGAGTATATATGGAGGTATCAGAATTAGTGAAAAGGAGTGATTTATTCCAAGAGTTGTGAAGGATTATAAGACAAACCCAGATATATATAAATTATGAATAAAATGTAGTGGAATTGAGAGACTCTCCATCTGATATTTTTTTTCTCTATTACTGCCATCAAGAATTCTTCCTACTCAAATTCCCATGGAAACTACTAATAAAACATACAATTAGAGAAAATCATGTGTTAAAGTTGAAGAACAGAGATAGTGATGGCAGCAGCTGCTGCAGACAGCCTGAGACTGCCATCAGACAGGCTGCAGCAGGGAGGTGCGGCCAGGGCTGCACACTCCATGGAGCCTGTAGGAGCTGGGGACAAGTGGGAGCCCTACCCCCACTAAGTTGAGGCAGAAGCTCCCTGGGTGCCACTGCAGCTACCCAAACTGCAGCTGCAGAGCCAGGTCTCCTACTCCATAGAGCAGGCAAGAGCCCCGCCACCTCTAGGCACAGCTGCAGCTGTAGCTGCCCAAACCCTGGCTGCAGACTTACGCATCCCTACACACTTGGGGACCCAGGAAGACCCTCATGCCCTCACAGGCTCAGAAGGCCTGCTCCTGCTGCCTGGCTTCTCCCTGCTCTCTGCACCTTCTCCAATTTTGGAGCAAAGTCAGGTGGAGCCTGGGCACCATGAAGGACAGCTGGAGGCAGACAGATTCTGGGGTGGAATGGGGCAGGTCTCCACAGAGACCTCACCCTTTTTAGGCCAGGAATAGCCTGAAGGCTGGGTCAGGCTGCCAGTCCCACAAACCAGAGTGGGAACTTGTGGCACCTTTTCTGGGCCTGCCCATGGCTGCCCATAGACAAATTGGCATGTAATGCCTTCCCTCTGAGGCCCATAAAAGCCCCAGACTCAGCCAGACATAGGCAGATAACTGGACAACCAACTGCAGAGAAAAGCAACCCTTACTGTTGATAGAAGGAGATGTCAAGATGACCAACAGCGGAGAGGAGCTACCCACTCTAGGGCCTCCTATCTGCTGAGAGCTTCAGAGACCTGCAGAGTCACCGGGACTACCAGCTGTAGAGAGAAGCAACCCACTCCAGGGTCTCCTCTCTGCTGAGAGCTGGGAAGACAATGGGATGACCTGCCTGCAGAGAGGAGCTTCCCAATCCAGGGTCTTCTCTCTGCTATAGGAGCTGAACACTCATCAGAACCGGCTGCTGTGGAAAGGAGCTACCCCCTGTGGGTCTCCCGCAAACTGTTCTATTGCTCAATAAAACTTCCCTTCATCTTGTTCATCCTCCACTTGTCTGTGTACCTCATTCTTCCTGGTCACAGAGCAAGAAC